TGTGGCACGGTTCAGCAACAATATCAAGCAATGCGGGGTTTTCAAAAATATTGAATTTCAATGATGAAGTTCCAAGAAAAAAACAGGGACCAAGAACAGAGTAAGACCAAGAAAGCTAAATTTACCATCCGAGTTTGCAAAGAAGACGAGGTACTTGAAGGAGCTTCAGCTGCCATAGCTTCATATTGACTGGCGATCATCTCTAAGGCAGATATCTAAAAGAATCGTGAATGACTTTTTTTGAGCATTAATTCTGCGGTGAGTTTACAAGAGTCACTTTAGCATGTTCCTCTGAAAGCCAAATAGGGTGTGGGACTTAACATCCATGTTGCGGCGACGCGTAGTTGCAAATAAAGTTGTAGGGGTGCGTTCATGCCAGGCGTCAGTGTTTTGAGCGTATGGCAGTTTTGAGCAGACGCCAGCTTTCTGATCGTATGGCAACGTACGGCAGCGTCTTCACCAACCAACAAAGTATAGTTATCGATGTAGCGCTGTGAGTGAACGCTACCATAGTGGCCGAAATCGCTTTCGTACGTTGGCGTACGCTCCGAACGCCAGATCAATAACTATATTTTCCTAATCCGACTGGCCTCACTTGCACGGCATTCACACTATGACCTAATTGATTTAATGGGAGCGTTCCACTATACCAACTCCACTGACTCATTTACGTCGCCGCAATGTGGGTGTTTCGTCTCACACTCAATCTGCAGCATTTCAAGTGTTTGAACGAACCTGAGCGTTGAGCTGTTGAATTTCCTTCTCATTCGCTTTCACCTCGGACGACAGCTGATGCATATAGTCGCAAGCCCTTAATAGAATAATAGAAACCAAACTGGGAGAAAGGTAATTTATAACAAGTGGAGGCTTTTACTTTACTTCTAAAGACAAGTTATGCACTCATCTTCGAGGACCGATCCATCCATTTGAGGGTCCGCAGCTGCAGTAGCGGGCATTTTCTTTGCTCAAATGTTCCCGGGAACGCTGGAAGCTAGGGCTGATGTGATTCATTCTTGGGCGTCTACCCATGCACGGATGCCATCTCGATGCTGGACCCGTGCTATATATACTCAATGTACTCAGCTTGTGTTTTGATGCCGAGATCCCCCAGGGACTCAGCGGTAGAGAACAACCAGAAATGTGAGGCGCAGATAAGTATTTTACTACGATTAGGCATGTGGCCGGCCGTGAGGCAGCGCGAGCATAATACGGAGACAGTACGGCAGCGCGGGTATCACCACTCTCAGCCCCGTTTCCGTGCACTTTGGAGCGGAAAAAGTGGTACGCTACTGCACCTCCGGACCCCTTCACAGGCAAGGACCAGTATCCACGGCAATAAGTGTTCAGTTTGTCTTCACGATGACATACAATCCGAAAATAGCCTTACCTGAATAAAATAGCCGCATTTGTGGTTTTACATCCCATAGCGGAAGCTGTCTGTGGTATCAGCTCTTTCAAATCAGAATAACCACTCTGAAAAATTAGGCCAGAGTTGCTGTCATCTTTTTACACTCAAACCAAGTTCACTAACATGCATAGATAACCTGCAGGTATACTGTCTCATAAATAGTATGAGTTCACCAGTACAAACCAAACATTGAAGCGAATCTAGACGTTATCATAAGAATGTCGAGTTATGGATGAAAACCAGAATGGATGAAAACCAGACCCCTCGATCCCGCATCTCCCGCTTACCGGGTGAGAAACGTGTGGCCACCGGGGCGGCTCTAACCCTCTCAGCTCGCTGCTTGTTGTGTACCATGGTCGGAGCGGGCTCCAGCGAGCAATGCGTTTGGGTGGCAACGGCTGGCCCGGTAAGCGGGAGATGCCGGGTTCGAGTATATCTGTGGTCTGATTTTCATCCATAACTCAACATTCTTGTGACAACGTTCCGATTCCTTTGAGTGTTTCTGGTTTGTACTGATGGACTCATACCATTTATGAGACAGTATACATGAAGATGCGGGCGGCGGCACAGTTTGGCGACGGGGGGGGGGAGCATTTTGCACTTTTGCCCACCCATCGACGTGTCGACCCATCTAGTTAGCCTCTTCTCTTTGACAGGTTTACAATGATGGCTTGACGAGTTTGCCCCAGCTTGACAGGTGTTCACAGCTTTCACCAGAGTGAGACTTGTAAACCGGAACTAGTGAAGCAACGAAAGTGCAAAATGCCCCCCTCCCTCCCCTCCCACCCGTCGCCGAACTGCGCCGCGGACTCGAGTCTCGTCTGGACGGGATCTGACTTTGACCCATAACTCAGCATTGTTATAAAAACTTCGAAGCGCGAATAGCAGGGTTAAACAGCAGTTATCATAATAAAACAGCTTGGAATCCGTTGTTTTAGAGCTCGTGTGGTCGCAGGTGAGAGGGGGTGGGGGCGGTGGGGGAAAGACACTCGCCAGCGCTTTCGTATCCCTTCCCCTAATCAAAGCCCAGGCTTAGTGAAGACTACGCCTTCTACGCGGGACTACTTTTCGGCGACTCTGGTCATCTGCGCTCTAAAAGCAGGCCTTTCTGGGAAAGAGATAAACAGGCGCGTCCCTTGGTATCCTCCCACTACATTAGCGCCTACCTTTTTTTCATTAAAGGATCTAAGTGTTTGACCTACTATGCAACTTCCTTAGGTTTTTCATCTTAACAATGGTAGTGGCAGAATGAGTTTTGACGACATTATGCACTAATGGGGTCACCTGTTACTCTCGATGCTCACATGCTTTGGAAGCTTATGATGATCAATAGGTTGCAAAAACGCCAGCATCGCATAACGACTCGAAAAAACAAAAAAAGTCAGATAATTTATTACAAAGAGCTCGAACACCCTCATGTCAACTCCTTGAAACTGAGGTTATTCGTAGCTCTTTCGAAAATTACTGATTTATTGAAAGAAAACGGGCCCTTTCCCAAAAAGGAACTTTCAGAGAGGATGCCCAACTCTCCAGCGTAGTAGTGGCACTTAAAGTAAACACTGTTTAGCCGAATTTGAATACTTAGTTTTTATTCCGAAAAGCTTACTTATTTATACCAAACACTTTGAGCGCTAACTTAGTTCTAGAGGAGGTCACACCGCAACCCCTTACAACAGTTCCACTTTCAGGACAAACGGCGCTTCATACTTCGCGATTTGGTCGCTACGATCGTGCGATGACCAAACCACAAGTTCGAGGTATGAACGCACTCCTGGGCTCAGCTGCGTAGGTAGTCAAAGTCGCCACAAAATCTCGCAGAAGAGAGACGGTCGCATGGCTTTGTGCCATTGAACAATTAGATCAATAAGGGGCTATTGGACAGACAATACTCTAAAACTCGAATGTTTTACAACAAGAGGCATCCAGTGTCCCCTCAAAAGATCTCCTTGAGCCGTAAGTCAATGCTGCTGGGAGAGTGGAGCGGAGAGGAGGTTTGCAGGTCGCATGACTAAGCCTGCACATTTGTCCCTAGATACTGAGAAATAGTGATCCTCTCTGCTCAGCCTCAAGAAAAATGACCAGAGCAGCGACGTACCCCTCCTCTATACATCTATGATGAGTCGCGTTCATTCTTTTGAAACTAGACAATTCCCACAAAGGAATGTGGGCTGATGTCAGCCTCGGGAATGCACGATTCTAGAGACTATGCGACAAAGGAACGTACAGGTATCGTTTGGAGAGCACATTCGGAATAATCTAAGAGATTCGAGAAATTGGCGGCTCATTCATGGTGGACCAGTTCAAATTTTTGGCGTATAGAGGTGGGAGGGGACGGGGAACACTCAGCAGAGCCTTCGCATCCCTTTCCCCAACAAACGCTTAGGCTGGCAGCACAGACAACCAGACTCGATGAGGGATAGTCCCGGAGCGAAGACATTGTCTCCGCTTATTGTAAGCCTAAGAGTGCGTTTGTACTTTGCGTCAGCGTTTTTGCCAGTATTTTTAACGACTAGGCGTGTACCATTGCAACTTTCTAGCCTAATAGGCTAGCCTAATATTACCCAGTTTTGACTAAAAGAATCACTCCTAGTTGGTATGAACGCTGGTGTACGCTTAACAGGCTGATGCGGAATGTCCGAACTGCGAATTCAGAAAATAAAATCACAACCGCGAATTTCCATATTCGCAGAGTATAAACGCGGTTTGGCCTCCTAATAGAGACCGAAAGCGTTAAAAAAGGGAATAAGACCCAAATTGGGTGTGTCACGAAGATATGTGGGATTAATGTGAGCCTTCTGAAGGAACTTAAGGCAAGGAGTCGCGACGCAGCTCGGCTTGAGGTACGGTGAAGGAGACAAAAAGGGGGGGGGGAATTCTGCACTTCCGCCACTTCCCATCGACGTACCGAGCCATCAAGCAGAATCGTAAAGACATGAAGTGATACCAGCCAAGGTTTGCAGGGATAATTTGTCAGTTCTTGTAAAGAACACCTGTCAATACTTGTAAAGCAGTGATCAAGACAATGGAAAGTAGCAGAAGAGCAAGGTGTCGCCCCCCCCCCCCAAGCCGAACCTAGCCGGAATCACTCATGAGATCTCGCTAAAGCACACTTCCAAAGAGAAGTGTTAAAACTCACATTGATAGCTTCACGTCGTTGTCGTTCACATCGAAGATGTGTTTGTTTCTTCTTATCCGAATAAACAGACGAATCCGAACCGGTGGGACTCATTTCTGACACTTCTCCTTGAGCTGCGGAGGTACGTCGGCGACCACCCATTTTCTTTACACTACACGACATTCCCAGATGAACGGATTGTCACGAAGTACGTCAATGACACTTGAAAACACGCAAATACCCACACTATCGGCTAGACGATCATGTTGAATGGCCGAAGAACAGCAATGAAAGATGGCAATTAAACGTTTATAATGTTCACCCGTTGGAAACTGAGGGGGCAAGTGACATCACGT